GTGGGGGGTGGGCACGGTGGAGACGGCAGGAGGCGAGGGGCGCGCGGCCTTCGGGGAGCCAGACGGGGTTACTGGGGACTCAACAAAGCTCCCCAGCTTACCCGGGCACCGAGGCCGGAGTCGGGGGTCCGGACGCGCAGGTTCCGGGTAGGGTAGGGGCCATCGGGGCGTGGGGCCGGTGTCCCAAAGCGGGTCACGCCTGCCTGACCCCGGGCGGGTGGGCGCGGGCAAGGGAGGGGGGCTGCACTTGATCCGAGCCGACGGGACCCGGAGACCAGGACTCTTGTCACCGCCCCCCCGCCCGTCTGCGCTCCGCGGGGATGCCCCGGGCTTGACCCGGTTGGTCGGTCCCCAGTGGCGGGGGGATCCCGGCTGGGCGCCCGCCCCGTCTCAAACCCTCTTCCCTCTTGCCCCGGGCGGGGGGAGGTGCAGCTTGAGGGGTGCTGGGCTAACACCCAAGAACTTCCCGGGGAGACGGTGCGAGGGGGATTTCCACAGTCTTCCCCGCGGCCCCCGCAGTAGGGCCAGGCTGGGAGGGCTTTTGGGGCTGTCCCGAGCTCGTGGGTGGGGATTGAGGGACTCCTGTCTTTTCTTCCCACTACCTTCCTGCACACCCCCAGCTGTCCCAGGTCCCTAGTTCTCTCTCCTCTTTCGGGTTTGAGATGAGTGGGTGGCTGCGCAGGCGGAGGATGTTAGGGTTTGGGGGCTCCCCCATTCTAGGTCATGCCTCCTGCCCTCTGCGTTGGTCTGCGTTGGCTGAGGTGTTCCTCGGGTGGACGAAAGTACGATGGCTGGTAGCCGTGGTCTTTAACCCTTTCTGTCTGTTTTAAGGTAAATTGCTGGGAGTTTGGGAGGCAAGAATTTCCATTTGTTGGATTTCTTCTGGGTTTTCTCTCCAGAAGGAAGTGGAAGAAGAATATTTTCCCCCTTCCTCCATTTGCATTCTTTGTGAAGTCTGTCTGCCTTGTGCTTTTTGTCCCGGATTAGTCTTGTTTAAGGATGGAGATTTCCCGGTGTGGAGTCTATATAGATTTTGGCTTTCCATGAAGTAAATTCGCTTATCTTTTAGGGAAAGTTAATTTTTGTCTGCGGTCATTCCAGAAAAGTATCATACACTGACTAGGTGATTAATGCATTTAAGATTATAACTCAGTTACATATGATAGATATGTTAGGACGTGTGTGATTTTTTGGGTGGAACTGGCTCTTTTTTTTTTTAATTAGGAAATGAAGTAATGGATTACTTTAAGATGGCATAACTGAGAAAACCTCTGGTACTGATCTTTGGGTGAACTCTGTTTAAGGTACTGCGTATTCTCAGTTTAAAAGTAGCCCTCCCCCTTCTGAGGGATGTTAACATTGCTTCATTTACCCACCTTTCAAATTACTTTCCTATTTAAATGAAGGTTCTTCAAGTTAACTAGTTTTAGATTTAAAGAAATCACTGAAATGTTACCTTCGGTAAAGTGAACTTGGTTTAGCATTAAGAAACGGGTTTCAAACTGACCCTTTGGCCTCTGGAGCAAATTCAAATGTAACTCTCCCCCACCTCCCTTCTCTTTTTCCAGATTAATTGAAAGAAGAATGAACTGTAATCCTTGAAGCTAACTGGGCTATTTTTCTTTAAATATCATTTTTGATTGTAGAAGTTCAAGTAGAGTCAAAGGTTCTTACTGGTGTGAAGATTTATACAAGCCTTCAATTTGTCAACACAGACCAACAGACCATCTTTTTTATAGGGGATACATTTTTACTCCTTTTTTGGCATCTTTGCTGGCAAAAATTAAATTTGGCTGCATCATATTGATTCGTGTTTGACTCTAGGTTTTATGACACAAATATCGGCATTAACTTTTCCTGTGTTTTGCTGAAAAAATTGAACCTGGACATCTTGAATTAAGAGAATTGGTAGCTTACTTTGGTACATATATCTGAAGAATTTGAGCAAACTTAAAGGCTTTCTCATTGTTGTGCATCTTAAAAATTATCTTCTTATTAGAGCAAAGAAGTTTATACATTTGCAGTGAAATTATATTAGAGTTTAAGCAGAGCCAAAACAGTTGCCAAATCACTTGACTAAGGCTCTCTCTCTGGAAATAGAAATTTTCTATGAGAGTAAGTTACCATAAGTATTTGTCTATATGATTTTTCCCTCTTCAAATAAGTGACTAAATAAAAATGCAAATCTCAGACTTAATTTTTTAAAACAATAGTTAAGCAATGGAAAACCTACAGACGAATTTCTCCATGGTTCAGGGCTCAAGTAAAAAACTGAAGGGGATGGGAGATGATGGCAGCCCTCCAGTGAAAAAAATGATGACAGACATTCGTGCAAATGGAAAAATGCTGATAAATAAGGTGCCAGCGGTAAAGAAGGAACACTTGGAGGACTATGGAGAAGTGCCAATGGAAACGGATGGAGAACATGTCAAGCGAACCTGTACTTCCATGCCTGAACCTTTAAATTTAAATCCCAGTTTGAAACACACATTGGCACAATTCCATTTAAGTAGTCAGAGTTCTCTGGGTGGACCAGCAGCCTTTTCCGCTAGATATTCCCAAGAAAGCATGTCACCTACTGTATTTCTGCCTCTTCCATCTCCTCAAGTTCTTCCTGGCCCACTGCTTATCCCTTCTGATAGCTCCACAGAACTCACCCAGACTGTGTTGGAGGGGGAGTCCATTTCTTGTTTTCAGGTTGGAGGAGAAAAGAGACTCTGTTTGCCCCAAGTCTTAAATTCTGTGCTCCGAGAATTTTCACTCCAGCAAATAAATACAGTGTGTGATGAATTGTACATATATTGTTCAAGGTGTACTTCAGACCAGCTTCATATCTTAAAGGTCCTGGGCATACTTCCATTCAATGCCCCATCCTGTGGCTTGATCACATTAACTGATGCACAAAGACTATGTAACGCATTATTGCGGCCACGCACTTTTCCTCAAAATGGTAGCATACTTCCTGCTAAAAACTCATTGGCCCAGTTAAAGGAAACTGGCAGTGCCTTTGAAGTGGAACATGAGTGCTTAGGCAAATGTCAGGGTCTCTTTGCACCCCAGTTTTATGTTCAGCCTGATGCTCCATGTATTCAGTGTCTGGAATGCTGTGGAATGTTTGCACCCCAAACATTTGTGATGCATTCTCACAGATCCCCTGACAAAAGGACTTGCCACTGGGGCTTTGAATCAGCTAAGTGGCATTGCTATCTTCATGTGAACCAAAAATACTTAGGAACACCTGAAGAAAAGAAACTGAAGATAATTTTAGAAGAAATGAAGGAGAAATTTAGCATGAGAAATGGACAGAGAACTCAATCCAAGGCAAGTATTTTTTAATAGCAATTTTGAATGTCAGTAATGGTTTACTTTCATTTCAAAATTCCATATTTAGAATATAACTTAGCCTGTGTATTGTTGAGAAACTGCTATTGCTCATGCAACAACAACAAAAAAATATTGGTCAATGTATAATATGTTTGTATTGCACTTGTAAAGTGCTTTCCTGGATGTGTTCTCATTTGTCCTTCCAAACAACCTTGAGAGAGAAGTAGGGTTATTCCCAGTTTACAATAAAGAGAATGAGACTCAGATCAAGTGGCTCAAGTTTATATAGCCAGGGAATGAAGACTTAGGACCTCTTTCTGAACTCAGCCTTCTTTCTTCATATATCCTACTCCTTGGTGACTAAATCTGTTGTTTTCCTAGGGCTCAAGATAATTTACACTTTGGTGTTATCTCCATTTACAGATGGTATAAGTGTGCCAAAACAATTCTGGTGGTGGGCTCCAAAGAGCATTTTCCAGTGGTACACCCAGGATTTCTGACATTGTTTCCATGCTTGGATATTCAGGCTTGGTCAATGTTGGAAACAAATGAAAAAGACAGATTTACCTGAAGAATTTGTGATTTTAGTAACTAAAACCTTTTTAAACAATGGAATAATTTTGAAAAAATGACAGAGCTAGAATAAAGAAGTTATTTTAGGTGAAACAAATATTACTAATAAAGAAACCTATTGGTACAGAGATCTTAAACTTGCTATTTTTCCACTGCATTGTCTGCTAGGCTCAACTAATATCTTCAGCTAGCTAAAATTTTGAATGCCTGGGTAATGAGAAGATTTGATTTGTTACATACTCAGTTTGTTGATCTGGTTATTTTGTATCTTCTTATACTTGATTAGAATTGATATATAATAACAACAGCTAACAGTTTATTGAGTGTTTAAAATGTAGCAAGCATGCTCTTCAGTTTTAAATGTATTATTTTACTTAGTTCTTCTAACAAAAGGTTGGCTATGTTTAAGACACATTTACTTATTTTAATTTTTCCATTATTTTTATTCCTTGAAATACCTCTGCCCTTGCTGTTTTACAGGACTGAATGAAGTACATTAAATGACTGACTGAATGTTATTCACAGCAGCATAGATCTTTGTTTAGGTTTGGTGTTCTGTGCTTTATTAGGGTGCCTTTATGGTTTTGAGAGAAATTTAGTTACACTGATTTGCTTCTGAAGCCCAACAAAGATAATAATTTTAGGCTGTCATCCAGGGTAGTTTGCTGCTTGCTTTTTACAGTCAGCACTTCTTTGAAATTCCTTTACCAGTGGCTACTAGATATGTTCATATTCTTTAGGTACGGTTATTAGGTGATTTTAAAGTAGAATTGGCTTCAAGCCAGTACTCAAATTGCTGGACTTGCTTACAGCTGGACTTGTCCCATGCTGGAAGCATGACCTCAGAGATTACCTATATTCTCAAAATATGGAATGCCCCTTTTGATATTTATGATGTCTTGTCCCAAGCTAATTAGAATCTTGACCCTTACTTGTCCATAGGTGACCACATTATTCATTCTAATCTTCATTACTCTGACATAAGCGTTTTTGGGGTAAACTATTACTTGGCATAATATCCTTGCTCTGTGTTTGTGTGAAAAAACATTTAAGAATCATGCTAAAGTTGAAAGAAAGATAATGGACAAATTTACTTATCTGAAATTGGGAATATGCTACGGTTTGATTAAAATTAAAACTATGCTTCGTCTGGGATGTAGTACTTTATTGTCTCAGAACTTGTCATTAATTTGAATACATTTTTGATTTGGAGAAGTTATCAGATTTTTCCCCATCTTTTTTTGCTATGTTATTTTTTGCAGTATTGGCTAGTGTTTGTGGTGTATTTTGGTATTTTATGTGAATTTAAGGGAATTTAGGAAAATTTTCAGCAACTAAACCTTTAAGAAAGAATATTTTGTGGGTTTAATACATACTTGAATGCTTGTTTTATTATACTTACCACTTCATATTTTAAAAATTTACTCCTCAAAATATTGTGAGGTAGTTCCTTTTTAAAGACCTGCAAAGAAGCAAGATTAGTTACGGTCCACTTACAGATGAGAAACTAGTCCCAGATAGGTCACACCTACTTGGTTGTAGGTGATAGACTCAGGAGTTGACTGTGGGTCTTCTAACTTGAAGTCTAATAATTTTCACTAAACTTGTTGCCATCGAGTTGATTCCGACTCACAGTGACCTTATAGGACAGAGTAGAACTGCCCCATGGGGCTTCCAAGGAGCGGCTGGTGGATTTGAACTGCTGGCCTTTTGGTTAGCAGCTGAGCTCTTAATCACTGTGCCACCAAAAAACCATACTCATTGCCGTCAAGTAGATTTTGATAATTTTCACTACTTCTCCTTAAAACCAACCTAGTAGCAGAAACTAAATTTTGAGAAACATTAACTTTTCTCATTGACTGCTCTTAGAATAATCGTTCTTAAATGTTATATAAACCTGTATATAGCATTTAACTTGGTAGGGGACAAGGAGATAGTCCTTGGGGAATATTTTTCATTATCTTCTGTGAGTCAGTGAGTTGGTTGTCAGACAAACCAAATGGACCCAGAGGAAGGAAGTTTATCTTAAAAAAATCAAAATGGGCTTAAAAATATATGTATATATTTAAGTGACTTAACATAAAGGATGGAGTTCTGGTGGCACAGTGGTTAAGAGCTCGGCTGCTTACCAAAAGGTTAGCAGTTGGAATCCACCAGCCGCTTTTTGGAAACCCTATGGGGCAGTTTTACTCTGTCCTGTAGGGTCACTATGAGTTGGAATCGATTCGAAGGCAACTTTTTTTTTTTTTTGCTTAGTGTGATTACTAATGTAATTTGATATGTTTATATAATTTATAGTCAAAATATTGCTTTTGGATTAAAAAAAACCTTGAAACCCAATAAGCAATTGTTTGAAATGTGGGAACTGTTAGTTATTTCATAGGACTGAAATTATATTAGTAATGATCAACAAACTAATTTGCATATCTAACAGCAATATGAATTTGCATAGTTAATAGGTATTCTTAGATGAGAGAAATAAGTGGTAAAAGATCAGTGTTCTAAGTCAAGAACTGAATCTAGTCTGTAGAAACTAAAGGCATGTTTTCAACTCTTTTAACTCAGGCCACCACAAAGAAGTATACTGATTTTAGATCTGCTTAGTTTGCACTGCAAAATGGTGTTTTTGAATTATTTATCTCCTCACATCACTTTGAACTTTTTATTAGAAAAATGGTTATTGTATTTTTCAGTGCACAAATATATGCAAGAATATCAATCCTGATTTCTTTTCAAATGTCTAGTGGGTATTTATTTGCTCTAATTCTGATTTTGTTGAATCTTATATTTGTATCCACGGAAAAAAGGTTGTTAAGCAAATTGATCATTTATAAATAAAATTTCAGAGGTGATGTTTACTTAAGGGACAAGTTGTTTTCAAGAACATCAGGCTTATTATAGACAATTAGATTATTATAGGAGATTCTTACTGTTCTTAACTGTTACCACATGTGGCTGACAAGCTCCATGTCACTAAGTTAAAGATGTTATATGCCGTTGTATGTATTTTTTTTTTTTAAATAAAATTTAGATTTCTAATATTCATACTGGATTACTCTTCGGTAAGTAAAATAGTATGATTTTTATTCTGTTTAGGAAAAAAAACCTATAGATTATCTATAATACAAGTAGATGATTTAAAGATATCAACTTGAAAATATTCCCCCTTAAAACGTAGTAACCATTTCATTACCTTTAGCTTTGCATTTTCATTTCAAATTTTCATTTGATGTTAATACTATAAAGCATTTCTTTCCTCTTACAAACTACAGTACTTTAGGAAGTTTGTTTCTCAGTATAAATGTCAATGAGGTAAACAAATAACACTGGAGAGAATGGGCAACTATAAAGAGTAATGTTAGGAAAAATGTGTTCCAGTAATAATTGTGGCAAAGTTGATTATTTGCTACATTAGTGGTGTAGTTTGCATTTTGTGATTAGTATACATTTTGATCTAACTTTTTAAAGTTATAACTGTCTCCATGAGTTAAGAGATGTTTTTCTGTTTTCCCAGAACCCAGTTTAGTGCCTGGGATGTCAAAAGGCACTCAGTGAATTTTGTATTTTATTAATTTACATTTTTGATAAATAGCACTAACCTGTATTTTAGAACATTTTTTGAAAAATGATGGCTTTAAATTTAAACACATACATAATTTGCAAATAAACTGTTGAATGAGATTAACTGATCAAATGAGAGAATGACTATGAAAGCATTTTGGAAGCTAAGAGTCTTTACTGTAGAAACGTAGGATGGCATTTTCAAACTGTTATTTAAATACCTACTAATATATGTTTGGGAATTCTTCCATTCCCCAAACATCTTCTTATCTAGAATTATGTGAACATATTTCTAAGACAATAGTAGGTTTGCATTCACATGTATCTCCCTCTTAGTTGCTTATATATACTAATGATACTAATAACATGTTTGTTTACTGAAACAAAGTATGTTAGAAAGAGGTGTAAAACAGGTTTGCTACAAGAAATAGAAATCATTGTAATTTTCTGAATCATTTCATTATTTTAAACTTACAACCCAAAAGGTACATTGGTTGTGTTAGAGATAGTGCCCATTCTGATGATTTGGTTGAGATCACATTGAAGATTAGAATGATAGAGACCAACATGCACCTGTTTAAACTGGACAAGTTTTGTTTAGAGTACCTTTCCCATTTCTTATTCTGCCTTTGTAAGGAATTCAGGGTAATTGAGTTTTTTTGGAGCTCATTCTATTAATAACCGAATTTGTGGACACTCCCTTTCCCTGGCATTATTTTTTTCTGAAATCTTTAGGATGACTTTGGGAATAGTGCCCCCTTATGGTTTAGGAGGAGACCTTGGTGGCATAGTGCTTAAGAGCTACGGCTGCTAACCAAAAGGTAGGCAGTTCGAATCCACCAGGCACTCCTTGGGAACCCTGT